CATGATGGAAACAGGGTTTGATCTAAAACTATTTCTCCTGAAATCTACAATCATCTCCTTTGTTTTGTTCCCATTCAAGATGATCCACTCCTCAGATCTAAAGAATTTATTTGCAGACATATAAAGTTTACCATTGTCTCCAAGCCCACCACTGTTCCTGAGCTCCKGTGAAATGGTCCCAGTTTACTTGTTATTAAAATGTTTATACAAAATCTGATCACATCATATGTCAGCATTGGAAATATACTTTCCAAAGGAGTGTGTTAATCCAAATACTTGCTGATTCTTGGTCTAAAGTAAATGATTTAAATCAATCAAAATATAAAATGTGAGTGCATTTTAAATCAGTTATCCAGTCACAAAATACAGATCAAGATGTTCAATAATCTTGGTTTATTTGAAATCAGTTTATAAACAAACTGACATTTCCTCCTGTGAGGGTTCTATCCTAAGAGTCATTGCAAACGCCTGCCTTGTTTTCCGTGTGGATTCTCATGTGTTTGTATAAAGTGACCTTTCGGGTAAACTTTCGATCACACAGCTCACAACAAAATGGTTTTTGTCCTGTGTGGCTTCTTATGTGTGTGTTCAAATTGCCCTTTGTGATAAATCTTTGATCACACTGATCACAAGAAAATGGCTTTTGTCCTGTGTGGATTCTCATGTGTGTGTTTACATGTTCCTTTCTGGTAAATCTTTGATCACACAGCTCACAACAAAAAGGTTTCTGTCCTGTGTGGATTATCATGTGTTTGTTTAAATTGCTCTTTGTGGTAAACCTTTGATCACACAGCTCACAAGAAAATGGTTTCTGTCCTGTGTGGATTTTCATGTGTGTGTTTAAATGTCCCTTGTGGATGAAGCTCTGCCCACACAGCTCACAGGAAAATGGCTTCTGTCCTGTATGGATTCTCATGTGTATGTTTACATTTTCCTTTCTGGTAAACTTTTCATCACACAGCTCGCAAGAAAATGGTTTCTGTCCTGTGTGGATTCTCATGTGTGTGTTTAAATTACTCTTTTGGCTAAACCTTTGATCGCACAGCTCACAACAAAATGGTTTCTGTCCTGTGTGGATCCTCATGTGTGTGTTTAAATGTTCCTTTCTGGTAAACTTTTGATCACACAGCTCACAACAAAACGGTTTCTGTCCTGTGTGGATTTTCATGTGTGTGGTTAAATAGTCTTTTCGGCTAAACCTTCGATCACACAGCTCACAACAAAACTGTTTCTGTCCTATTTTGTTGTTTTTACCAACTGATTCAGGAACCATACTGGAAGGAGACTCCCAGTTCATATCAATGTATTCAGGTTTTGATCCAGAGTCTAAGTGTTTCAGCTGAAAGTCTGGATTGTTCACATAATTATCCTCTTCATCATCTTTACTGACTTCAGTTTCTGAAGAGTCAGAATCATCTTCATGAGTACTCAGATTTTGGTTTACTGTAGTTTCTGCTCCTCCACAGGACTCTCCACCAGATGTTGATTCCAGGTTGTCAGCTGAGCTGCTGGTTGGTAGATCTATGACTTCATCTTGGTGTTGATGAAGCTGTAAGAACTCAGGTTTATCTTCATCATCCTCATGCTTCAAAGGAACTTCAGTGAAGGAAAAGATGGTGTCATCAGTCTCCTCCTTCACATTGAGCTTCTCCTCTCCCAGGCTGATCCATAGTTCCTCCTCTTCTTCTTTAATGTGGAGGTGTTCTCGATCCTGCTGGTCCACATCAGGCTTCTGTTCTTCAGGATCTTCTTCTTTAATCTGCATCAAATCCTGATCAGCTTCAGGAACCACTGAAACACAAGAACAGTACATTATGGAGAACTGTAGCTTTATATTCACACACACAGGGGTTAGACAATGAAACTGAAACACCTGTCATTTTAGTGTGGGAGGCTTCATGGCTAAATTGGACCAGTCTGGTGGCCAACCTTCATTAATTGCACATTGCACCAGTGAGAGCAGAGTGTGAAGGTTCAATTAGCAGGGTAAGAGCACAGTTTTGTTCAAAATATTGCAATGCACACAACATTATGGGTAACATACCAAAGAGGGCAAATTGTTGGTGCACGTCTTGCTGGAGCATCTGTGACCAAGACAGCAAGTCTTTGTGATGTATCAAGAGCCA